GGGTAGCGGTCCCAAATGGTTATTTTATTCAAGGCCCAGTAATCATTGCAGGGGCAGAGCTCTCCGCCCTTTTTTTGACAAAGATAATGGGTGCAGACAGTGGTGATGTGGACGGCTGGATGAACCCCCGTTTCAGGTTTTTGTAAAGAAAGGCCTGCAAGGCTGCAGGTTCTGGTTCAGACATAGGGTAGATCCGCGCCACAGCACCAAATTGATGGCACAATCATAGGGTTGATGCGGGGGTAGCTGGTTGGACCCCTTTTCCTTTAAAACATCAGCAAAGTCCCTGTATTCTCGAGGTATCATGGGACTGTATGTTGATCCTGCTGCAGCCAAGGTGACTGGTGGAAGTAGATGTGGACATGGATCCCTGAAGCACAACTCCCCTTGTGCCCAGTCTACTAGGGGGTTATGTGTTTGGAGCCAGGAAAGTCCCAAAATGAGCGGGAAACGGGGCATACATGCAACGTTGAATTGTAGTTGCTCCTGATGGTGTTGGATCTGGAGAATAACCGGATAGGTTTCCTGGGTCACTGGGCCAGAGCGGAGGAGACGTCCATCTATGGACTCAACTAGGGTTAGGGGTCTCTTTGTCCTGCACAGGGATCCGGTGTTATTTCATGAAGGTTGTGTCAATGAAACAGCGGTCGGCCCCAGAATCGACCATGGCATTAACAAACAGCCAGCACCCATCTGGTAAGCAAAGTTTCACTGGCACAAGGAATGGACCTGGGATATTAAAATAGGGTTCAGGGGACCCAGCTAAGTGCCCCATGTCTGGGGGTCTGCTCAGACATGGGGCAAATCTTTACTGATGGTGGTAGTGTGGAGCCGGGGGTGCGCCACCTGACCAAGCAACCTTCCTCCATCCTCCTCTGCTGCCTCTTCCTTCTGATCCCAGGCACCCTGCTCAGCACCACCAGATGTTCTGTCACCCTGCTAAGAAGAACAACAAGCAATATCTTTGACTGCCTCCCCCTGATCTTCATGCCCGACCAACCCCATCATCCCCGGCTAGCCCCCTTTTTCGAAAGGTGGTCCGCCATCATACGTTATGGTTACCTGCTGGAATTCACAGAGGTTCCTCCCATCAGTTACCTCAAACACACGGCTTACTCATCTGCCCTAGTAGAGGAGGTGTCTCTCCTCTTCCAGAAACATGTTGTTCTACAAGTCTCCTCTCAAGATGTTCTAAATGGGTTTTATTCCCATTACTTCATGGTTCCCAAGTGAGATGGAGGTCTTCAACCCATCTTAGATCTGCGACATCTCAACGCTTACATCCATCCAAGGTGTTTTCACATGGTCACCCTTGAATCTGTTATTCCACTTCTCCCTCTGGGCGACTGGTTTGTAGTTACAGATCTCCATATTTCTATTTATCAAAGACACTTCATGTATCTCTGATTTCTCTTCAAGGGCGTGGCTTACCAATTCTGTGTGCTTCCCTTTGGGCTATCCACCTCTCCGAGAACCTTTACAAAATGTCCAGCTCCTGTGGCAGCTTACCTTTGTCTGCACATCACGGTCTTTCCGTATATTGACAATTGGCTGATTGTGGCAAGATCAGACCACGAAGCCTGCAGGAATGCTGCCTTTGCTCTTCAAACTCTTGCAGATCTCGGTTTACAGGTGAACTTCACAAAGTCTCATCTCAGACCACGGACTACATTGGAGCGCACCTCAATTCTGTCAAAGCCAGAGTCCCCCCCACCTTCTGAAAGAATACTCAAGCTGAGGCGTGCTATTCATCATTTTCGCTCTTTTGCTATGGTTTCTGCTCACCATACACATCACCTTCTAGGTCTAATGGCTTTGACCACCTCTGCCCTTCAGCACACAAGGCTAAAGATGCACTCTCTGCAGGCTTGTTACCTGTCTCAGTTCGACCCTCTGGTGGACCATCCCTCCAAGCGTCAATGTGTTACCCCGGAGTTGGCTTGTCAACTGTCTTGGTGGACCTTTATTCCTCATCTCCTGGTCGGCCATCCATTCAGACCCCTCCAACTGACTGTTCAGGTTACGACGGATGCCAACCCAATTGGTTGGGATGCACACTGTGGTGGACACAAAATCCATGCCCTGTGGTCCACCTTGTAAAAGCGACTGTACATCAGTCAGTTAGAGAGGCTCGCAGTTATCAAGGTCTTCCGCGCTTTCTTTCCTTTCATAGCTGGTTGCGGGGTTCAGATCGCCACAGACAATATGACTACCCTGTACTATATCAACAAAGAAGGAGGTACTCACTTGTTGACTCTTCTGTATCTAGTGATTCAGCTCTGGGAATGGTGTAACCACCATATTTTTCCAGCTGCCATTCACATGTACACACAGGACAACGATGTCGCCGACCATCTGATCCGTCTTACCACACAAACTCACAAGCGGACTTTGAACAATGCCATTTTCTCCCAGCTTTGCAGTCAGTGTGGAACACTGGTCCTCAACTTTTTTGCCACTCAGACCAACTTGAAATGCAGTATGTTTTGCTCTCGAGCAGGAAGAGGAGTGAACTCTCTAGGCAACGCGTTCATGGTAGACGGGCGATGTCCTCCTGTATCTCTTCCCTCCCATTCCTCTCATCCAATGGACTATAGTCAGGCTCCGTCATTTGTGCTCCAATGCCATTCTGATAGCCCCATGGTGGCCTCGTCAACCTTGGTTTACTCCTCTCAGAACCATGTCATCCGACTTCCTGAGACTACCTCCTCAGCTGTATCTCCTGACTCAAGACAGAGGCAAAGTCTGTCACCCCGACCTGCAGTCTCTCCACCTCACAGCGTGGAGGATTCTCCCGCCATAGCGGATGTACTGGGAAAAGCCAGAAAGCCTTCTACCAAATTGTTGTACTCTTACAACTGGAAGGCTTTCTCTATATTTGCTGCTTCCAGGGGCCTTGTTGCCGTTCTAGCATTGCTGAGCACTCTTCTGTCCTTCCTTTGTTGTCTGTTTGATTGAGTTTTGGCCCACTGGATGTTGAAAGTTTATATTCTGTTACTGTCTCTTATCAACTTGTTGGTTCTGAAGCTTCTTGTTTACTTTCACACCCAACTTTGAAGAGGTTCCTTAGAGGTTTAAAGAACATTTGTCCATCTATCCAGCCTCCACTCCCTCAATGGTCTCTCCAGGTTGTGCTCTCTGCACTGATTCGCCCACCATTTGAACCTCTTGCTTCTACTCACTTCAAACTCCTTTCCTTTAAGACATTGTTTCTTGTTGCTATTATCGCCGCTTGATGAGCTAGTGAGTCGGCTGCCCTCAGGGCTGATGCCCTTTATATTCAATTCCATCCAGAAAAAGTTAAAAAGTTACTTTGTACCCGGATGTATCTTTCCTTCCTAAAGTGGTTGCCGGTTTTCATGTTAATCAACCTCTGATTCTTCTGAAGTTATTCGTATCTCCTTTTTCTGATATTGAACACATGCTCCATTCCCTACCCTGTTTTCCCCAAAAATAAGACCTAACCTGAAAATAAGCCCTACTATGATTTTTCAGGATTTGTAGGAGAAAATTATCAGCCACACAAGCAAGGAATTAATTGTATGTTAATTGCTTTATCTTTTTTGTTGTATTTTAATTGTTGTAAACTGCCCAGAGACCTTTGGGTAGAGTGGGCGGGATATAAGTTAAGTAAATAAATTTCTTGGAAGGGCCATACTTGGCAGAATTTGCTTCCCAACATATATCTGGATAATTGAAATCTCCCATCGCTATTACATCATGTCTCTTTGAAAACCTTGCAATTTGTTTTTCAAAAGTTTTATCTGCTTTCTCTCTTTGATTGGGCAGTCGGTAGTAGACTCCAACTACCACGTTCCTTTTGTTTTTTGCCCCAACTAGATTGATCCAGATGCTCTTGATGGGACAACCAATCCCCTCCTCCTGTATTTCTGTGCAGTAATGTGTATTTTTGACATATACTGCAACTCCACCTCCCTTTTTTATTCTCTCTGTTCTTTTCGATCACTGTATATCTTTCAGTTGCTGTATTCCAGTCATGGGAGTCATCCCACCAAGTTTAAGTTATTCCTATCAAGTCATACCTATGCTCCTGAATTAAAATTTCCAGTTCTTCTTGTTTGTTTCCCATACGGGTGTCATGAGGTGGTGAAGAAGAAGAAAGGAAAGAAGGGCCTTCTGAGATGCTGCTGAGGTTAAAAAAAAAAGCAGGAACAAAAAAAAGATACGCATAAAGGTAAGCATAAAATAAAATTAAAATAAAAAGTGGAAGACTGGATTCGAAACCCAATGTTGGTAAAAGCTCTCTAAGGGTAAAAGAAAGCAAGAAAGGGGCATCAGAAGCATCCTTGTGAAGACTTGTACGTTTTTTCTTTTTTTCTCCAGGATGAATTTTATATAAATCAAATAGATTTAAATTTTAATTGTTGTAAGCCATCCAGAGACTTTTGGGTAGAGTGGGTGGCATATAAGTTAAATAAATAAATAAATACTCCTGGCATTCGTATACAGACACTGGAGGGTGTGTGACTTGTGAACTGTTTGTCTTTGTACATTTTTTTGAATATTATGATCATTAAGATTATTTTTTATGTAAGATCTACGATTTTAACTTTTCTCTGCGATCGACTGACACCCACCCGGTCGTTATCCTTTCTATCCATCTGTCTCTATGCCCACAGCTGACGGAAGCCGGAAGCTGCGCGACCGGAAGCGAGTTTCAGCTGGCGAGGGGGGAGGAGCCCAAAGCCTGCTTTTGCAAGGAGGGAGGGGACCGCGCGCGCGGGGGGCCATTTTAGCGTTCGCTCCGCGGTGGCCCGTGAGGCGGTGTCGGCGCGTCGAGCTTGAAGGCCGCGCCGTTTTGGAGGGGGGGAAAGGCGGCCAGCGCCGCCGCCCTCGCCCTCCTCCTCGTCCCTTCCTTCCTTGACCTCAGTCGGGAGGTCCGCCGCCGTGGTGCCCCCTGTGAAGGGATTTCAGTAGCTGGGCCCGGACTGCGGCCCAGGCACCTTCAGGGGGCGCCCCAATCCCTTGCCTTCCGCCCCTCCTCCTCGTCCCTTCCTTCCTTGACCTCAGTCGGGAGGTCCGCCGCCGTGGTCCCCCCTGTGAAGGGATTTCAGTAGCTGGGCCCGGACTGCGGCCCAGACACCTTCAGGGGGCGCCCCAATCCCTTGCCTTCCGCCGGGAGAGTTTCTCCCTCAAGTCCTGCTCGCGCTTGACCCCACTTGCTCCCTCCACTCGCAGCTTCCCCCCCCCTTTCCCCGCAGCTCCCCTGCTGCCTTCTCGGTCCTTGTCGCCCCCTCTTGCTGCCCTCCCGACCTCCCCGCCTCGCCCCGCCTGCGGTGCCCCTCTCTGGCAGCTCCTTTCTCCCCCGCGTCCATAGGCTTGTCCTCGCCCTCCGGGCGGAGCAACAAGCCTTCGGGCCGACGCCGCCGTCCTCCCTTCCCAGCAACAGTTCTCCCTGAAGTTGCGCTCGAGGGCTTTCCTCTTCGGCGGGAAGCGGGCCGCCCTGTTGCAGCCCAAGGGGGATCTCTTTGGAAGGACGCTCCGCTCAAACTTTTGGGATGATCGTGTTTGCGGCTCCTGCGGGAGGATGGCTGAGCTCGCACAAGCCGGATCTTCGGGCTGTTTTGTCAACCAGTGGCGCTTAAAAGTGCATTCTCCTGCCATTCCTTTTGGGGGTTCTCTCGGGTGAAAACCTGGAGTGCATTGGTTTTCTTTTTACCTCTTTGCGAAATCTAAGTGTCAAAATGCTAGCCAAGTCGGTGGATCGTCAGCGGATGTAGTTCACCGCCTCCTTTCTCCTAAGGAAGCAAAGTTTCCTAGTGCTGTTGGAGTTTTAAAAATTACAGGTGTCCTGTGTTGGATTGCTCGTACAAGTAGTACTTTTTACGGTGGAAGCTCCCCTGGTTTAGCGAAGAAAAATGAACAATTGAAATACTAACATAGTTTGTCCTGGAGTCCTGCCGCTTTATCTCTCTAAGAGAGAAGGCCTGTCTTTTTTCTTCCCCTGTGTTTTTGGATGTGATGGAACTCATGTTTGCAGAGTGGGAGGACGGGGAAAGATTTTCATTTGAAGACTCTGATCGCTTTGAGGAAGACTCTCTTTGTTCCTTCATTTCGGAGGCAGAGAGCCTATGCCAGAATTGGAGAGGATGGCGGAAGCAGTCAGCTGGACCGAACTCCCCCACTGTCAAAATGAAAGGTGAGTATTTAGGGTACATGGGTATATGCTAGGCCTGTAGAAGGCCTGGAAAAACTGAGCGTATGTGATATATGGAGAATTATGCAAGTTAGGAGTGGGTGAATATGTTAGATATACACATATAGTTTGAATCAGATTTTGAATCGAGTAAGCACCTATTCAGTATAGCTAATTTTCTCTGGAACTATGGCTAGAGTTGCTTTACATGTTTGCCTGCATAAATCCACAGTTACTTTGACTGGGAAAGAAGCAGCATAGAAATCCAATAAATAAACAAGTTCCACAAAAATTGCTGCAACTTCTAATTTGGTAGATTGCAACATTACAACACTGATTAAATAGGATTAGGAAGAGGCGATTTTACTAAGGACTGTAGGTCTGAATTTTCGTGTGTTCTGATTTACATAATAGTTGCCTATGTACAGTATTAGTTGCCTGGATCACATTTATAGTGGGAATGTGAAGAATATTATCTGGATCCTACGTACAGCAGTGGAATGTATAAATATGTTACAGTGCAACAGGATTGACCTAGTTATATCTTTAATCTCAGTCCTAAAAGGATTATTCCATGCTCTTGTGAGAGTTATTCTATTATGATCAAAGGTTACTTGGTGACTCCATACCTGTTTGAATGGTAAGTCTGTCATTTGAAAATAGTGTAGGCTGGGCCACACAATGTCCGCATGGTTGTACATTGGTCACATTAATGGCTAAATGTAAAGAATATAATAGCCATATTTGTAGAAAGGAACCATTGCTGTTGTTGAAACGGAGCTATTATTCAAAGTATAGCTTGGCTATTGTAGCAGGAATCAACTGTTGTACAATTAAAGAGTTTATTTCAGTAATAAGTATGGGGTTTAATTAGGCTACCAGCTCAGGGTAGTATACTTAAATGAGCCAAAGGAACTGAAAGAATTTCTGTTGTTCACTTATTTTGACATCAGGGGACTGCTTCACATCTTATTATATTGTAAGAAATACATGCACTGTGTCTTATGCACAGGAGGGTCACAATAAATTCCAGCTTTTTCCAAGTGCATTTTTATCAGACACAAAATATATTAAATCTTCTGTACATAACACATTTTCATGTGTAAGCATTTCAGTGAACAAATATAATGCCTTGCATAGGCATGTTCAAAAATTTTGAAGAAATGCTGAAGGGAAGTGAATAGTGTGTAAAAAGATAGTTGTGAATCCAGTCTAAACCCCACAGTTGATCTTGATTCCTTAATGGATACTATGAAAGATAAGTACTTTTAAAGCTCATTAGTAGCATGTACTTAAATTACCTATTGTGTCATTTCCCACCCCCCACCCCCATTTCCTGCTACCAGTTACTGGTATTGTTGTCCACCAGTTACTGGTGTTGTTGTCCTTTATGCACACATTCTTAAGAAGATTTAGAATATGTGATTACACATGAATTATCAAAATGTTAAAACAGGAAACAAGTGAACCATGGGCTTTGGCAGTATGAAACACTTCAAGGCTTACTAGTGAGGTTGATCTTGATTGAAAACTTTGTTAGAGGAAGTATATAATATTTTTCTATATAGTGATGCATTGTAGTTTCTTGTTTAGAATGAATTATAGACATTGTATCAATGTCTCAGCTTTTGTAGTTACACATATATTTAGGCTCATTGTCTTCACATTACTAAGAGAATTTTGGGAAAATGCTAAATTGTTCAATAAAAGTTATTTTCCCAGAAAGATGTAAAACTTCTGGAAACTTTTAAGACATGGTGGGGGGAGAATCCATTTTTCCACAAAACAACTGAAATTCTATGGGAAAAAATGAAAACTGCATTATTTAGACACAAGCAATCTTGCTTCTACTGGGAATGTTTTCACCAAACTACAACAAAAGGCAACAGATGAAATGACAGTCTGTGAGCAAGAAATGCCCTCTTTTGTGCCACTCTCATGGAAATGACAGCATCCTTCAAGTGCAGAAATGCATTTTGGATCTGGATGTTACCTGTGTATGCAGTATCCATGGGAATAATTGTTGTCTAAATCTCATATTATTTACATACAAGTCTTCATTTTATGTAGTTCCTGATGTTCTGAGTGAAACCTAGCCATAAAAAGCATTTCATCACAGCTTTTTCTACATTCCTCCAATTTTTCTCTGGAAGAACTGACAATTTGTCTGGGGCAGACAAATTTCCCCCCAATTTCCCCATTTTTCTTTGCATAAACCTTCATGTCTCTTAGTTCCCCTGTTCCCCTGACCTGTAAAGGAAATACTGGAAACAGATGGGGATGCTAGAAAAAATAGTTCATGAATAGTTTTGATAGCATGCTTGCTGATATTTCATTTGTATCCTGACTTTTCTCCAAGGATTTTAGGGACGTGGAAATAAGTACAGTATTATTTCATATTATCTTTATAATAACTATTGGAGGTGCATTAGGCTGCAAAATGACCTGTCCAGTGCAAAGTTACTAGGGGGCTGCCTGACTCAGTGGGAACCTGAGCCTAAGCTGTGAGTTGCAGAGGAGTGTAACTCTATCCAGCAGACTGAATCCCTTTTCCCGGATATACCATTTGATTGACCAGGAGCACCTCTGTCGTATTAAGTTTCAATCTGTTTGCCTTCATGCAATCCATTACAAATGCCAGATACTGGTTTAGAATAGGAACAGGTTCCTTGGAGTTGGATGCAAGGTAATAGCATTGGATGTCAGCTGTGACACAGAACTCCAAAACTTTCAGTAAGGAATTCATTGAATTGAGAAACCACCACACATTCCAGTATCCTACCCAAAAATGAGGCTTTGGAGACTGGGTGATAATTATCCAGTACAGTGGTGTCCCGCATAGCGACAATAATCGGTGCAGCCAAAATCATCACTGTGCAGATTCATCACTATGCGAAATAAAAAAGCCCATAGGAATGCATTAAAACCCGTTTAATGCGTTCCTATGGGCAAAAAACTCACCTTTAAGCGAAAATCCTCCATACGTCTACCATTTTCGCTGCCCGGTAAGTGAGGAATTGGCGCGAAAACACAGCGGGCAGCCATTTTTTTACCCGGTGGCCATTGTGGAACTGCCGATCAGCTGTTGGAAAAACATTGCTATGCAAAAACCGGTAAGCGAAACAGCTTACCGATCATCGCAAAGCGATTTTTTCCATTTAAATCATCGCAATGCAATCGCATTTGCGATCGCAAAAAATCGTCGCTATGCGGATTCGTCGTTAAACGGCGCACCCGTTAAGCGAGGCACCACTGTACTCTGAATATAAGGAGCTGGCTGGATAGCTCAGTTGTTAGGTATCTGGCTGCAGAGCCAGACTTCCCTGCTTTGCCTTCTGTGAGTATAGTCAGCCTGCGTGGCCATGGGCAAGGTGCACAGTCCTAGAATGCCACCAGAAGAAGGGAATGGTAAACCACTTTTGTCTATTCTCTACCTGGAAAACCCTGGAAAAGGTCATAATGTCAGAATGGACTTGATAGCACAGGATGATGATCTATAGTGGTCTCATTATTGCCTCCTATAGTCATGCTGGACCTTGTTGCAAGGAGACATTCACTGCTCTTTTTACCTACTTACCCAGCTCCACTGTGGCTGCTTTTATAATTTAGGAACTGCAAGGATACAAAACTCATGTGGTGGTCATCACCTTTCTTTAATAAAAGGATTATTTCAGTGTGTATTTTGGAATTTCTTATGACCAAAGTGGTTACCCCTGCTTTTTGTAAAACATGCTGTTAGAGTCTGCTTGAAATTGATACTCGGAAGTATCAGATGTGCAAGCTGGTAACAGTGTTGTTTGTGTGAAGTCACAAATGAATTGTACACAGATCATCACTTCCTTTATTTCACTGTAAATTTATCTTTCTATGGGAACTTATCTGATTTGGGAGCACAACTTGCAGGTAAGACAGATATAAATCTTTTTTTTCCCCTTAGCTTTACTCCCTCTTCGCTCCACAGGGGCTAAAAAGCCCAAACACTCAATTGATGCTAAAGAAGTTTATTAGTCTTTCTTCCCTCAGTTCTTGGATGGAGAATTCAAGAAAGTAAATGGGTGGATGGGGAATGATTTAAACCTCCCTTACTTCTTTGTGGTGATCCTAGGTGAAACCCCTTCCAATGCCTAATAAAATAATGCTTGACTATATACCAACACATTTAACATGGTAGATCTTTCTGTTGGGATTGTGGAGCATTCCTTTTTGGAGATGAAAAACAGTCCTGGAATACAGTAGAAAATTTCAGCCTAGAGAAAGATGTGTCTACCATATTTATGTAAGAGAACTCTCCTCCAATAATGAAACAATGGTGGAGGGTTATTTATTTTAGTCATTGCAGCATTTACTAATAGCTTAGTATGTTTGCATTCTCTCTGCTGTGGGTAAAATTCTGAGCAACACAGGCAAGTTATACGTAGGATGACATCTCCCATACCTACGGGCTCTTGAATAGAAGTAATTTCCTCCTCTGCCTCTTCACATTTTGTGTAGTCTGAATTCATTATTATATCAAAACCAGCAGGAGGGAAGTCTCTTCCACCTCTTCATTTTTGCTGCTAATAATGACATAGTGTTATATAACATTAGTGGTCTTTGTCCATATAAGCCCTTAAGACCCATGTCAGTACAGTAAGTCATAATGAGCTATTTGGGATTGCATGTACACAGGATCAGAACACTACTGCTGTGTTGTCAAGCCTTAGAAAAGTTACTTTTTGTCCACTTACAGATGTAACAAGAGAGTTAATTATTTTCCAACTTACAAAGTTTAAAGTATTAAAAGGGAAGATTTACAAGGCTGATGATTTATCATAAGTTATGATTCATAACCATCTAACTTTCTTGAAGAAAGCAGTGGCATATAAACAAATGAAGTCTATAAATGAACTACAGTGATTAAATGAAAATAAAATGAAGTAGAGGATTTGAATGTATTGGTGCGACATTTTCTACACTAGTAGCAGATTTTAAATATTTTTGACAGAAATAATTGAGCTTTGTGT